TAAATGGTATCGGATGTAATAATAGTGGGGTGAGAGTCGAGCAATTCCTGTTTTCTGATGCGAGACACCTCGTGAGTGCTAACTTTCGTTTTGTGCGCCGTCCCAACTTGAGCCCTAACCGAAAAAATCCACCAGTTCGAAATGAGCAAAGCCAAATGGTTTGTTGAAAAGTTTATGTGCATTTACAATGAACTGAACGCTCACTCAATCATCTGGTTCTGAACGTCGCCGCTAACAATAAAATAGGGCCTCTATGTGTATGTATGTGTGTGTATTGCCTGCGCTCTCCCCCATCTCGGGTCTTCTCCACTTTTGTCTTAATATCGGGCCTGGTGTGGGAGTGGTGAGAGAATGGGGTGGATTCTCCGCAAGTCTAATTTCAATACAATCCAGCGAAATTCACCGCGTTCGTTTTCAACTCGCTGAAGCTCGTAGTGGACATCGTCGAAATCGACGATCGAACTGTCGTGGGGTTATGGTTTGGTCCATGGTGTTTTGGCCTTGATTTCAGCTGGACGATCTCCAGAATTCAATTCAGGTTGTAATGTAACCTATTATCTTCACCAGTATGTTGTGCAAGTATATCTTGAGTTATCTCATGGTTTGATCGCGTTTTGTAAGGTGGCGCCATAAAATGCATTTGATGGTGCTAGAAATGTGTTCTTCCTAAATAATACTAGGGGTCAGTTATACTCGTTAACAGTTTTTCATCCGTTTGGCTATCTTTGTACTTAATTTCAATTCCCCTAGTGGGTGAATGTCCCGGAAAGTGTACTTGAACCTTAAATTATACTCATCTCCGCTTATTCTTTCCTTCTCTATCTCTCTAGTTTATCGCAGGACCTAAGAAGCGCTCAGCAGTAGACTGGCAACAAGTGGAAGATGATGCGCGTGCTGTTCTTGAAAAGGCTAAAATTGTTCAAAAGCCCGTAAGTACAGTCGGTAAACATGAACTTGTTTCTCGACCATCATCTAAAGCAGGCTTTTCGCTCGGTATCGTCTGCCGACAGTCGGCGAACAATGCGTTCAGCTTAGACCTGTAGGATTGTGTCTGGAAATATTTTGATTTTGTCGCTGCAGTTAATTTCCTATTTTTTTGTGTGCTTCAGTTTGAGATTTTTAAATCTATGCCAACACCTTACTTTCTGATCACAAATGTATGTTCTCGAACCAGACGTCGAGTCATTTGACTGTCAGCAGAAAACTAACTTAATTATCCTTCTAGTTTCTTCAGCAAATTTCCTCACCGAAGTACTTAAGGAACC